AATGTATGAAAAAAGTCCTAAAATAGACCATTCATTGAAGGTGCGCCTTATAATCCGGTACGCCTTATAGTGCGGAAAATACGGTATTTGGAAAATAGAATAAAATAATAAGTAATTACCATTATAGAAAGGCAAGTGCAAGTAGAAGTTTACCTAACACATCAGGAGGCTCCGTCTGAAAACCCTCTGGCTGTTGCCCCTGCAGCATGTCCAACAAAGCCTGCAGGCTGCGCAGGCACAGTAATGGGTGAGAGAACCGAGTCTCTTTAATCAGCTCAAAAACCCCGCACAGGCCGATGCCGATGATCTGCAGACGAGGAAGGAAGCAGGTTTGTGTAAAGGGTCAGTGAGGAAAGATTGAACATTTTGCTAACTCAAAATCCTTTTCTTTCTACATATTTTAATGCAAAGAGTAGATTAACCAAGGATTGGAGTCCTGCTCTGCTCAATCTCCTATAGTATGCATAGTTACTTGGGTCAGTTTAAATATCCAATTAGTACATTGGGTAGAACGTCAGCTGCAATTGTATGTCTGCGTATGTGAAAGAGTTTGGCCCAGAAACAGATGTCCTTTCCCATCGTTTTTAACAAAGTTTGTTAGACAATCAAATTACGCTGCAATGCCACTGAAGACCTCTTCTTCCCTTACTTAAAAGTAAGCTTTATTGCATAAAAGATGCAATAAAAGTCCAAGAAAAAAAATCTAAATGGACAGATTCAATGATGACTTCAGAATTCATTTTAAAGACATACATCAAGAATTGTTTTCTCAACACATATTTGCAACATCTATCTCGTCATCAACACGATGGAATTAAAACTCAACCCTAAAAAGTGTTGTATCATCAAAGAGTTTGGCTCAGAGATTATGTAAGCATGACGACTTGCATCTATTCATCAAAATCCATAATGAAAGACTCTACATTGCTGTGGAATATTTACATGGTAAACACTGCTTCAGTAACAGTTTTTTTTTTTATTATACAGTGGGTCAGATTCAGGAGAAGCAGAGTGGCCTCCATCCTGGGGTGAGGAGGGTTTGGCTCTAGTTTTCTACTCAACAAATGTTTTTTGGACCTTGTTGACTGGTCTCATCTTTGCTCTTTGCAGATGATGTTCTGTTAGCGTCTTCAGTGTGCAGTGCAAACAGAAAGAGCTGAAGTTTAGTCACTAAAGAAAGGGATTATTGAGGTTTCCTTCTCTGATGCAGTTATTCACTCAAAACGCGAAAAAGAGTGAATGAAAGATGACTTCCGAAAAAAGGAACAAACAAAAACTTTTTAATGGGTACCGCACAATGGGAGATGATTACTATTTAACTTTTTAAGGGCACATTCAGGAGTGGCTGTATTAAAAAATTGTTAGTCCAGTTCTGCATTTGTGAGTCCAAGCCTGCACCCATGTTTGAGCTCAAACTGCATGTATGTAAAAATAACACACCAACAAAGAGACATGTTAAGAATCAGGAGCCTGTAATTTACACATGGTAGATTTCTGGTAACTACAACTAGAGCCACAATAAGCATGAATAAGACTGCCTGTTCCTTTATCGACAGGTGGTTTGCATCAGTCCCTGATGCAAACCATCAGGGACTGGGGATATAAAGTGAGTGAAATGCAAAAAATGTCAAAATAAATTTAAAAAGTTTGATACTATATTGTTTTCATAAATTAAAACATTAAGTTATATTTCTAACCCAATTTCCACAAACGGAAAACATCTTTTTACTTATTTTCTCTGTTGTCAGTGCACGACACCTGTCAAGCACCAAGCCTATTCTTTTTTTCCACTAGTGAATAATTGGCAACTAATTGTGTAGACAGTTTGCTTGAGAGGCAAAGTTTACCACCTTATTGGCCCTGCAATAGCTGTAAACAAACATTAAAGACCCTTTGTCTCCAAACAGCTGCTCTATTCCTGAGTTCTGATAACGCATGAAAACAAAAACAAGATCACCTCTAGCCATGTTGTTTGACATGAGGAAATATTCCATCTTGCTACAGTAAATGGCAGTGGCTAGGTAATTACCCAGGCACAAGGGTCATAATTTAATTACGCCACTGCCATAGCAACATGTCAAAAGTCCACAGGTTGACTCTGTTCTAAACCAAGAGGAAAAGTTGTAGCCCAAACAATTCTTCTTTGATCAGGGCTTAAAGATATTCCTGGTAATATCAACAAAATTACAAAGTTTGTAGGTAAAAAAAAAAAAAAGATGAATTTGAACAATTAGAGCCATCAAAAGCTCATCAAAACTACTATTGTCTCTGCCAAGACACAAAGCAATGACACCACTACAAAAATGCCACAAAAAAAAAAAAAAAAAAAAAACTCCTTCTTGGCTCATACCTTTGGCAGCTTTACCGCCGGCTCACGGTACTCTTCCTCCTCCTCGCTGTCTGAGTCGCCGCTCTGCACTGAGGTCCTGGAGGCCAGAGCTAGGGAGGCCTCCTTCTGCTGCCAGTCCAGAACGCAGTGTCGCACATTGCAGTAGACATTAAATGCAGAGGGGTTACTGTGTAGTTTGATGTCTGGCACGAAAAGAGCTCCATCTAGACTCTCGGCCTGTGGAAATAATAAAAAGCAAACAACAAAGATCGATAAATGCTTTACTTGGTCACGATGTGCTCAATTAGTGCATTCACAAGTACATAAATACTGAAAGGAAACAAAAAAAACCAAAAACATTTCCACAATGGCAATTAAATAGAAATCCCAACTTTTATTCTTGTTTCTTCATTGCTGAAAGAAGCGATGAATTCCTCCTCCAAACCAAACATATTGGTAACACTTTATTAGATGAGGTGTACATAAGACTGACATGACGCTGTCAAAAACACAAAGGAGTCTAAATGAATGTCTATGACTGTAATCATGAAGTGTCATTTGGTAAATGACACTTTCAATGCAAAGTTGCTCTAAAAGTTGCATCAAAAGTCCATTAAAAGTGCCAACTTTGCAGCATTTACAAAATAATGACACTTTATCCAAATCTGACACTTTGAACTTTCAATGCAATTTTTAGAACAGCTTTGCATTAAAAGTGTAATTATTTACCAAATGACACTTTATGACAACAGTCAGAGATTCATAAAGACTCCTTCATGTTCATAACAGATGTCATGTCGTGTCAGTCTTATGCACAAACATATTTTTCAACTTACATCTAGAAAATAGACATGCAAGAAATCCTACATCTAAGGCAAACCTTATATATGATTTCTGACTACAAAACATCTGTGTGTCTAAAACGTACGTCGACCAAACGGGCTTCAAATTATTTACACAAAGCCATCACTATGCAATTGTCTGCTCAGAACAGACATGAAAATCTATATGAACATAATGTGCAAGGTCTGTCAGCATCAGCTGAACAGACGTTACCAGATACTCTGTATGTTAAACTAGGATTCCTTTAGTTAGCAGAGTTTTTATTTCTAGCAAACCTAACCACCATGTTGTAAGCAATCGGAAATATCCTCCAGTGGTGTGGTTGAAGTATTTAATGTTATAGGGCCATGAATGTAACATTCATATCCAAGAGAGAATTAATAAGCCAGAGCCATAAAAAGCAAAATGATTCTTAATGTAGAACAAGTTTCAGTAATATGGCACTCTACACAAAAATTTGCACATCTAGTAAATTGTTGTTGTTTTTTTTTAATCATCAAGCAATATAACCTCACAAAAATGCACATTTGAGAAAAATCCACGCTATAACTGGAATAAATTTATTCATTTGGTAAGAATCTATCATAACTGATATAACTGATTAAAGAAGGGAAAAATATTATCAAATTTGCCATTTAAATATCTCACAACCAATCAACTGTACCAATTAAAGTTAAACAACTCTAAGTGTAACAAGCAAAGTTGAGTGAGGACCCACATTTGTCTCGCCACCGTAAACAGTAATGAGGGTGAGCTTTAAAAAAAAAAAAAAAAAAAGGTTAATAAAAGGCTAATTTAAGGCTTTGTGTAAATATTTGCCAAGGGTGCCAATAATTTGCTGATGGCCCGGAACATAGATGTCTTACTATCAGAAAGGATCACACAGGTCCAATGAAATCAGTGAACAGCTTATTTTTTTATGCTCTTTTGCCAACAGTAAAGTATGATAGCTACAGAATTTGGCATTGTGACATATATTGTTCATTGAGGAACAGATTGGGTGTGAGTCACCGCAGCGTGTGGCCGCAGTCTTTTTGTTTGGCAACAGCGGTGTCATCTCAGAAAAGGCTAAAGGGACAGGAGGGAATATAGTTCCATAGTTTAACAAAATGAAACATGTTAGATCATTTTGCCTGTTAACGAGTGTGTCGTCAGCAGTAGCTTCTTACTACCAGTGAACAGTCTTGCAGAAATAAACATTTGGCCAATACTATAACTTATTTTTTTTATAATGAGAAAAATAAAAGCTTTGGAAATCAGCTACAGAAGAAATTAATAGGTGGTGTAAAATTTAGACTGGATACAGGAAAATGTAAAGAAATGGTGGAATAGGTCACCGAGTTTAACTGATTTATCAAGTTTGCTTTAATGCTGAAAAAAAAAAAAAAAATCAGTTAGCTTATCTAATGCATTTCCTTAAAGTCAATTTTGACCAAAGAGCAACTAATGCAAACAATCCGAAAGCTGCATTCTGCTATTTTACACTCCATTGTTGAAGGTTACACAATATCTAGGCGTTGCCTGAAAACTGACCCTTAATTTATATACACAGTACTCAGAAAAATATTTAATATATTATTAGCAATATTCAGTGCTGATTATTGCCTCGTTGAATAAAGAAATAAAAAATAGAACCTGTCTGGCAACATGAAGTATGCCAAAAGATCTTCACAAAAAAACAACTGAAATAATTCATGAAAAAGTCATTGAGATCCATCAGTCTTGAAAAGCATCAACAAATTCTTTCTAACAAACAGTGAGAGCCACTATACACAAAAGACTGAAGAGCTTATCCTTCCTACCAAAATTACTCCAGGACGCCATCAGTCCAGATGGTTGCAACACTGGAAGCACCACAGGCCTCAAGTGTCTCAGTCAAGGTCAGAGGTGACGATTTAACAATAAGGAGGACATGGGGAAAAAATGGCATCCATGGGACCTTGAGGTCAAAACTTCTGCACACCAAAAAAGAACGGAAAGTGATGCTTCACATTTGGCACAAAGGCATCATAATGATCCAAAACTTTGTTGTGGAATTTTTAAAAGGCGAGAGAGTCAAGCAACAAAATTACATCTGAAAAGCAAAAGGAAGCAGATGGGGAAGAGGACACAAAAAAAAAAACAAAAAAAAAAACATAGTGGTATTAGTGTGACAATGTTGAACTTCTTTGCCGGTTCAGGACCTGGACAAGTTGTAACAATTGACTGAACCAGAGAGTCTGGTTTCAGCCAAAAATCCAAGCGGTTCTGGAGTGGTCTAGTCAAAGTCGGGTCTTTAAACAGATTAAATGGGTCGTTCGTGCTTCAAAACCCATAAGGTGTGGCCAAATGAAAACAAATCTTCAAAGAAGAGTTGACCCAAATTCCAACACAGAGATGAATTGCTTTGAATTTTTCTTATTTCCCAAAAACACTTAACATATTTAAATAGTATATATATTTCATATAGATGACAGGAGTTGATGATTCAGCAAATATTTTCTGAAATGGACATCAAGCAGCTCAACGTAACCACTCTCCTCCATTACTGAGTTTTTACAGTTTTTTTTTTTTCTTTAATTGATTTTACTCAATATAAATGAGGAGGGCAGCCCAGCTGGGGAAATTTGGATTAAAATAACTATTCAAATTAAAGGTTTTCTATAATCATTATGATCAGACAAACTGCAGTCGACTGAGAAACTCGATAAACAATTTAACTAATTGCTGACTGCTTTCCCAGTCCCACCAAGAGAAGTATTTTAACCACAGTCCTGAGACGAGCTCTAAAGAACTGCATCGATCCACCCAGGATCTCTCGCACTGCTGTGCTTCTGGCATCCTGATGGCAGGAGGTGAGGTCATCTTTTCAGGGGTGGAAAGGGTCATTTATTATCAACTAAAACCTGCGAGGAGAAGAACGCTGGCTCCACACTCCCCAAACAGTGCCGTCAGCTGATCTTTTGCCACGGTAGTAGCGTAACCTTTGTGACTCAGGCCATACAGCGTTCATGTAACAGAATTAAAGCGTGGAGATATTCAGAGCCCGCAAACTGAATCCTGTCAAACTTGTGCAGCAGAGAAAATAAAGCTGAATTGTTTAATTATTTTCCACCTGCAAAAGGAGTGTTTCAAAGCGTTAGATGCCGAAGCTCCATGCTGTTGGGCAGATCTGCCAGTTTATAAAGTTCACAGGAGCAGCACTCGTTAGCGAGAACGATTAACTGTTATCAAATATGCCAACGGACAGCCAATCCATTCTATCTGAAAGCACACAAGAAGATGACGATCCCATTATGCAATATGCAAATCCAACCGGCACACTCATGGGTTTCTTCTCACTTAGATAAAGTACAACGCATGACTCCAGCAAGCTGCTCAGAGGGTTTCTGTGTGCTCCACACTGATGATCTGAAGTAAGCACTTAAAAGTTTTACAAAGCCACTGCCAGACATCCAACGGCACACTTTGTCGAGGAAGTATCTTAAACTAATAGAAAATTAAAACCGAGGGGATGCAAGCCAACATGGTAAGCTGAAATCAAATTATATAACAGGCTATTTCATGAGTAAACATGTGAAATCAAATCTGTAGTTGCCGTATCGGTTCATGCCAAAAACATGACCATTAAGATTAAAATATTACATTATGACAATTAAAAAAAAAAAACATTTTAAAAACAGAAATATGGGCTTAATGAAAAGCAGCATACTGCAAATTCTTCATAGTTGCATCATCACTGCAATCACAATATCAGATGATTATTTAAGTACGACGCATTCAGGCATTTTACGGTAGCGATGTGATTGGAAATGTAACATCAAAATGCTAGAGAGAGTAAAGTGTTTCTGCAGAAACACAAAGTATTCATACTTGCAACAAACATGACTTATTTAGCGCAAATTATATTGTTATTGCACCGACACCACCGCACGTTGACTGGCTTGCTAATAACATAAAGCCCCAATATCAATTATGATTAATTCGCATTTTTCTGACTCATTTCTGTCTTTGCAATTACACATTGTCCAACACGCTTAATATCTCAGCCACTAACAACATACATGAGGTGTGGCCGTGTTTGTTTTCTGACGGCATCCTTCCACACCTTTGCAAATGCAATACTGGACTCGCCAATGCTGAAATGACAACTACGACTAGATCAATATCGCACTTGTAAAACCTTCGCTGTGTTTGTGAAAGCCTAAGTCCTTCTTGGTTTCCTCCGAAATAGTTAAAATCTTATGTTCTTTTTAATTCAACATCGCGTATCGTCTCTCCTCTCATGCTCAATGCAGCTTTACATCACTATTACAATACAATTCATTGAGAAAATCCTAATAAAAAGCAATTCAATAGAACCTTATGATGTCAACATAAACCATGTCAGTTTTTAACCTTTGAGCTCTTAATAAAATAATAAAAAAATAAAATAAAAAAGTCTGTACTTCTCAAGTAGTGTTACACTTACTAGCTTCACTCTTACAAAAAAAAATTATAAAGTCATCTTCAGAATGTTCAATATCGGTTCTAAGCTTGCTGAACCATTTCAAGGAAAGACCTTTCTGCCTACAGCGTGGAAAAGGAGATTGCTTCTTCTTTCCAAGGTTCTACTCTATGTCTAACTTGCTGAAAGCTGAATCTCTTTAAATATTAAGAGCCACAAGTTAGAAAAGAAATTATTACTGTAATCTTTGACATCAAATGAAGATCACATCAACACAGCTAAAATATCTGTGCACACGACTAGAGAGACATCGTATCCATGCCACTAACACACTAATTATGGCTTTATAGGAATAAACCACATAAGAATCTCAAGTATCGGAGCAGAGTCCTGATTAGGAACCGGAGATAAGGACTCTAAATGTCATCACGATGCTTTTCTGTATTTACTGACAACGATTAAAAACGATGATATAAAGCATTTAAAAATTCATCAGTGGAGCTACCACCACACGCTGTTAGACAATCACAAACACAGATGCAGCTCTTAAGATATAATACATTCGTTAGCAAATCGTTTACTTCAGCACACCGGCAGTTACATTTACTGCAACAGTGGAGGCTGAAATAGTTGAAACACTAAAACAATCCCAACCACACTGTCCCATGCTTGCAGACATTAGGAGTTTATCCTGTTTGCAATCAAACCACTTTTAAAACAATCATATCCCCCCTATAGTGTTGTGATAAACTCAAACTTGGCCTAAATCAAGACTTTTTTTTTGTTTTTTTATAATATGGCAACAATTAGGCTTCTAAGAACGTTTTACTCTCTACAGAAAAATCAAAGTCTACTGCCTTCTGCAGTTCCTTGTTTGTCTGTGTGATGTCACCTGCTCTGACCTTTGCTCAGACATATTCAGGCAAGCTGTCTAAAAGTACTAAAGCAGAACAGAGAGCAGCTGAAACACCAGTCATTTAAATCGTACAATGTTCAAATCAAAAGTGCAAAGCTTACAACGCAGGAGAAACTTTTTTTTTGTACGTTTTGTCCATACGCAATGACTTCGTGCCGCATTGATTTATGCTGCATATATGTGAATTATCAATGAGACACAGAAAAGCAAAGCAAACATGCCAATGTTAGCATGGCATTTTAGCAAACTGCTCTGCATGATAACATAATCAGCTGAAGCGTTGCATGAGTTTGTAAACCGCAACCATATGTAGAGATACAAATGATAAAGTTATGCTAATACATAGTAGCACACTAAATTATTCAATGCCATGAAGGAGTAGTATTTTGTAGCTGACCTGGTGAAATTCCAGACACAAAAAATAAATAAATAAATCTATAGCCGCCGGGTACGTAAATGGCATTCATTTTATTTCCTTAGTATCATAATTACTCTGATCTGCATCTAAGAAAGAAATTCTCATCAGGACATTCCTAGTAATAAGTTCTAGGAAAAAGCTCAAACGTTTTTAAAGCTCAATATCAATGATCACTTAGCATAAAAGCTTGGACTTACAGGAAATGTATACAAGGAGGAAGCCACCAGAAAAGGGATACAAAACATTTCTATTATTACATTTCCAAGACACTTTTTCTGGCGATAATGACTTCAAGTAAGAAATGCATGATGAGGAAATTGCTTAGTGTACCATATCATACATATTACTATCGCAATTATACACAATTGCGATACGATTTTAACGAAAACAAATCGCACATCTGCCTACAAACAAGATGTTGCATAATGCTCTTCATAGAAATGACAAGCGTGCGTGTTTTTTTTTTTTTTTTTCCGTTTTGTTCTTTGCCCTACTTTCATGTTTCAATGCAGCAGCAGAAGAGGAGCTGGAGAGAATTCAAACCACTCTACTGTCTGACTACTCCAGCGTCAGAGGCATGACAGAGCAAGAGTGAGCGTGACAAGTACAAATACGACATGACTGCCCAGTGTCCATCTAACAGCAACCCACAGTTCTTATGCCTCCCTGATATCCAGGCTCACTTCTCTGCGTGTAGAGGTTGTCACTTAATTTTAAGAAGAAATAATTTAAAAAGGAGGATTTTTACTTGAAGAAAACTAGAAACATTTCAGACAGATTCTTTTTTTTGCAGAACGGAGGCATGACATATTTTCCACATCTCCTTGGAGACCTTACTCTCTTAAAGAAACAGTGGAAAGGAATAAATATAACCTTCAGTATAATTCATCTCCTTATGAGCTTGAAGTACTTTGGGATCAAAACAACACAACAGCATCCTTTTTATCCAGACCTGGATCCTCCTTCGGATGAAGGAGATGGAGGCAGGAAACTGTTGCTGTGGAGATGTGGAACACATTAGGTCGCTTGGCAACAGCCCATCATGCACAAGTCGGAGCCACTCCCCGAGTGCTCCACATTCAACCACCCCAACTTCATGTTTGGAGGGGCTAAACTGCAGCTGACTGAACTCAAAACAAAAAAATAAACAGCACAGATCCGCAAATCTACCTGACCTCGTCTTTAATCGCAGCATCAGTTCAGACACTTCAGCCGAGAGGATTTATCGTAGGTATCATCAAGAAACATTGTGTGATATCTGTAGATTATGTCATCTCCAACTACCTAGGAGGCTTAACAACTACAATTGACAAAAACAGTGGCGCTTTGAGCAAAAGAATCCCAGAAAGCAGAGATAAAACTTAAAAAAAATTGATTTTCTAAATCAAGAGTAGTATTTTTTTAAAAAAAAAGCAAAAGAGAACACCTTGACATCTCTTACCTTTGTTCTTGATTTGACTTTTGACTTGACTTTTTGTCGCCTTTTCAGTTTCTTCTTACTCAAGGCCTTCTTCCCCCTGGAAGTTCACAGAAACAAGGCGGATAATGTAAAGCATAACCTTTTCTATGTGCATTTGTTTAAAATTTCTAAAACATTTTAACCAAAAAAAAAGACATTTAGTACTCGAACCACAAAGGAGCGGGAGATTCATAGAATCCGAATGCGAGTGCTAATGCATGCTCTCCCTTGCAGTACTTGTGTCTTTTGGATTTTCACGGCACTTAAAAGGCTCATTTGGACGAAAAGCACTCCAATTTTTTTTTCTCTCGGGGTTGAAAGATTATTTCAGTTCTGAGTTCTCTGCATTAGCACCGGTGCAAAAGTTGCAGGCAAAATGAGACAAATTAAACCTGATGGCATGTACAGCATCACTCTAGAAAAGGAGTCCGAGACCACACTTAACAGGGGGCAGAAAAGGACAGTGCAGTGGGAGAACAACATCTGCTGTGTTGCACATTTACACAGATTCAAGTCTTTCTATTTGCACTGTGGAGCTTTAGCGCTGTTAAAAGGATTTATTTTTTTTTTTTAAAAACACGAGAGTACTCTTTAGTGCGACTACTGCTTTTTTGTCTCAATTGCATTTTCAAGCACGCTCAAGCAGCGCAGGTTCCGGGGGGGGGTGCTTTGACTTCTTGAGCTGTCTGAATGTCCATGTCTGAAAAGTCATTTTTCAGTTCTTTTTATAAGTTTAACAGACCTTTTGTAGGTTTTATTGGAGATTGGAAGAGAAATTAGGTTGTTTTAAGAATGTTCTCCTAAAAACTATTCTTCAAACTGGTCAGGTCTTTGTCATAAAATATATCCTTCATGACTATTATATCAATGGTAGTTGCTGCAGTAGAACTTAAGGAGTTTAAGTGTTTTGGTTTTTAGCAGCAACCCTTGTGGTCAAAGTATAACTTTAGCAGAAGATATGACGAGGTTTTACAAACAAATGACTCCAAAACCGCCACACTTCATCATAATAATGGACTTGCAGTTGATGGGTCTCTTAACGACATCTCCTACCTCTTCCTGCATAGCTGCTGGTCAGCTGGCTAAAAAGAAAGATGCTATGCCTCCCCACTGACTACAAACAGAACAGTCTAGTGGCTTTGAAATACATTTGCCAGTAAATTTAGCAGAAAATCTTTACTCATCATTGTTCAGCCGATTGTGGTTCTGTGGGTAGAGTAGTCGTTTTGAAATTTTAAGGTTGTTGGTTTAATTTCTAGCTTCCCGCTGTGGCGTGCCGATGTGCCCCTGGGCACTGCAAGTTGCGATCGGGTGAATGTAAAGCGTTTTCAGTGATCAGAATCACTAGAAAAGCACTATACAGTCCTTAAAAGGTATTACTTAGTCGTACGTCTAGATATCAGGATTAAAATAAAAATCCACATTAAACAACATTTTATATTGTTATAAAAGTAACAAACATTCTACATATTTCAAGGAGCATAATAAAATAAATGTCATGTTTTCATTAGTTTGAAGCAGAAAATCATCATGATAAAAAAAAAATACAGATGTTTGACTAATCAAACACCTGTATTCACTTGATGATGGAGTTACTGTAATGGGTTTTTCAATAATACTCCAATTTATTGAAAGGGTTTGTACATACAGATACAAGAACATGAAGATGAGGGGAAAAAAGGGAAAGATCTGCATTATGCCACATGTTAAAACAAAAACATAATTTTGGCTTCAATTACAAGCCAAAATTGTAATGAGTGAGTTACAATTTTGAATAACTGCGCTCTGAACAACTAACATCATCCATTAAACATCTCTCTCTGGCCTTCCATTAAAACCAATACTGAAGTAATATCAGACACCCACTAATATAAATAACACTAGACAGGATGTTCATTTATAGATGTTCTTGCACCATCTTATGAGCATATCAATTCATTCTAATAAATAAATATCAATTCAACAATCATTTCTGGCGATTTTTTTTTAATTTGTCAGACTTTATGGTCCAAAATTAGAAAGTAATTATTTGGTTTCTGAGCAATCATCTGATCCTGTCAAACTAAACAACCTGACTAGAATGACGTAAGTGTATTATGACAGAAAACCAGATGAGTTCATTTTGCTGCCAACACGTCTTCATCTGAACTTGTCTCAAATTGCCATTTGGGTTTGTTTAGATGTAATGTGTGTATATATTCATAGTGTTATATCCATGTTTATCGTTATTATCACCCTCTTTTCTGTATAACTGACATGTTTAGATAACATAGAAAGGGGCTGATGCCAAACGTTTGTTAGCTGGCTAACAGTGACGCTGTTGGGCCTAAAAGCATGTACACGGCAACACTAAACGACTGAATTGACCAACGCATGTTGTCAAGCAAAACTGGAAAGATTTAGAACATGCTTAATGAAAGAAAAACGCCAAAGATTAGGGATGAGTTTGTTTACGTGCAGCAGGGTGTCCCCCTCTGTCCAAAACAAACTGGCAATATGCTGTAATGACAGCTAGCTAGCTAGCTAGTGTGAGTGAAAACTGCTCAAATTCCATATGCATTAGGACCTAAAACTTGTATTTGGTCATTTATTCAGTTTTGAATCACCGCTTAATTAAAGTCACATTGTCCGGAACACCCGGAATAAAAAGCACCCACAGAAAGGTGAAGCAACGTAATGTTAGCTGGGGTTGTACCCCTAAGCTAAGGAAGTCACACAAATTTACCAAATAACAAGATGACTCCGCAAGCAGATATTTGAATACACAGCATGCTTGTTTTAATATTAAATACGGAACATTAATACAAGTGAGACTAATATAGTATTTTATTTAAAATATTCGACTTAGCACCGCGACGAAAGGGTTAAGGTTAGCTTTCAGCCGTTAGCCCTTCAACTGACAGAGCAGCTCCATGTATCATTTTCTGTTGACCACTTACCTTCCCTGATTTATCCCCTGCTCTTTATCATTGATGGCGGTGGTATAAATCCGTCTGTATCTTTCCGCAAGGGCTCGTCCAGAGAGTAAAAGCTGGTACCGAGTCCGACAATCCGACTGGGCTCCGAAAGTCGGGCAAGAACCCATTCCCGAACCGATGGTGGTGAGATCGGCTCCCACTCCAGAAATTACCCTGACACCCAGCCCCATGGACGGCGATAAAGAGGGCAAAATTCCCCCTCCACCGGCGGCGGCCGCTGCCGCAGCAGCACACATCATCGTTTAGCAGAACAATGCATATATCACACAGTCAGGTAATATCCAGCCATAAGATGCAATCCTCTCAACGTCAAACCCGCCACATGTCACATCATATGTCCGCTCCGAGCTGCAAAAGAGCCGCAATTAGCATCCACTGTTCTCGGTTATTCTCAGACGCAGAGTAGGAGCCTTTCTGACGGCGCTGCTACGGGGTTCCGATGCGCAGTGTCAACACGTCGTTCTCCTCCCGAAGGCAGACCTCCTCAAGCCACGAGAAGCAAATGTAGCAGAATAGAAGAAACGAAAGTCGTCATGAATAAAACTGTTGTGTTTCGGTTTCATTCGTTCCTTGAATATTTCTTGACCCCGAAGAGGCAGCACCCTCAGCAGTGCTGCCATCTTAGCTCCATCATCCCGCCCCTCCCAGACTCAGTCCTGCGTCGATAGCATGCTGGGATATTTTCATATGACAAAACTGAGCTGATTTGCCTAACAAATAACCGCTGTGTAAATATTTTTTTTTTTTTTTTTTTTTAAAGGGGCCTGTAAATTATATCACAATTGAAAAGTAAACTTTTTGCCATTGTGTTCAAATTGTGCAACTCACTTTGATGATGCTTAAAACCAAAATTCGGTTTCCCAGAAAAGTAGAATATTATAAAGCTGTTCTTCTGACATCAGATTTCATATTTAAATATTTTAAATTTCACATTTCATTTTTTTAAAAAGCGTAATCAGACATAAAAATTATGCATAAATTCTGGCATTTTAACAAATAAAAAAAAAGCATTACTAAAAAAGTCTAAAAGCGTTACAAAAAACCCAACTCAGAAGAAACACACACTTACACAAAAGCATTTGAAACCAATACATTCAATAGGGAATGTGTATATATTAGAACATCACACAGTACTTCCCGTCAATCCTTTGTCCTGCATGGTCAGTTGACCTCTAAATGGTCCAGCAGCCTAGAAAATAACATTAAAATGCTAAAGCTTGTGCACGAACAAGAAGTCTCACTTTAACATAAACTGTGGCTGAATTCCTCCAGCATCGCCTACTGACTTCACCCCGGACTTTGAGCAACTTGGAGTCTGTGTTTCTTCCCTCTTCCTCCAGACGTTGGGACCTTTTCTTCCAAATAAAATGCAAAATGTGCTTTCCTCCAAAAAGAGGACTTTGGACCACAAAGGAACGGCCCAGTCCTGTTCCTCTTTAGCCCAGATGTCTGAAGTAGAAGTAGAAGGATTTGGGAGACAGACAGCATATGAAAAAGCAAGGGGTCATATAAATTTGCATCGCCAGATAGATTTATCAAGGTTTCTTATCCGTGTGACCTTTAAAAACAAGGTTGGATTATGCTGAAACTGTTTTGGGTTTTATATAGCACACCCTTTAAAATGCATTTATTGATCAACAAGATCAACATTATGTGCTCGTAGAGTTCACCTTTCCCTGGGGAGAAGTGTGAAACAGTGAGACTTTGATCTCAGACACGAAACATAAAAACACCTTCATTGCATAAGAGCTGGAGCCACCCTTTGATTTTATAATTATCCTGATAAAATCACCCCACTGATTTTTTTTTTAACCACTGAACATGTATTCATTTCTGTCTAAATATATATATATATATATATATATAAAATATATGGTATTGCTGGAATTCTTCGAAATACAGAACAGAGATTATAGTCAGACTTTCTCTTGCAACAGAAGGATACACAAGGAGGGAAACTCTGTTCGACAACATCAGTCAAAATGTCAGCAAAGGTCAAAACCCAGTGTGGTGCAGAGGTAGACATGAACAGCAGGTACACCAAGCAGACATCATCACAATGTAACACATGCAATGTTTTGCGATGTGCAAAGATGTGTTTAGCAGGAAATAAATCCTCCTGGACCTTTCTGTTCTCAGAGGGATATCTCCTGCTGCTGTCTTTTTTTTTGTTTTTTTTTTTTTTTGGGGGGGGGGGGTTGGGGGGGGGGGGGTGGGGGGAAGGGTTTTTAT